CGGGGTCCCCTTCCCCCTTCGTGTCTCCTCCCCGCCGCCCTCCTCACCTCAGCTGCCCGGAAGGCCGCGCTCCGTCCCAGGGCTTTCGCCTCGGGCACTTGGCGCACAAAGGCGGACGGCGCCACTCGTCGGGGGGAGGGAGGATTAACCCCGGGGTCTGCGGGAGGAGTGGGGCTGGAAGGCAAGGGGTGCGGAGTGGTGTGGGCCTGAGGAGGAGAACCGGATGGGGTGGGCGTGGGTTCGTGGTGTGTGCGCAGCAGGGGCGCGGGGTGGCGGCTGGAGGGTGCCGACCTCCAGTGTTCAGACAGCTTTCCGTAGACGTTGCGGCACCCTGGGTTGTCCCGGGACCTCTTCCCACACTTCTCATCCCTCCCCAGCTCCCAATCCTCGCTCTCCAGCAGTGCCCCTGACCCTGCCGCCACCTGCATATCCATCTGCCCAGCCGCAAATCCACACTCCTGACCACCCGCGCCCCAGACTCCCCAGGTCAGAAACGGAGCTTCCACCGGGGAAGCCACGCTTTCCACAAGGTCACGTGGGTGAAGGGGCCCTCAGGCTCTCCTTCCTCGATCCTTCCCCCAGGAATCTTGTGGCCTCCCAGGATTCCTGCGGTCCATGCCCTCCTCCCAGCCCCACTCCCCCACCTGGATTCAGGACACTGTCGTCCTCATCTGGACAATGGATTGGCCCCTCCCTTGTGCACCACCATGCTCTGCTTGGGCTTCTTTGTACCTACAGTGTGTGTGTGTGTGTGTGTGTGTGTGTGTGTGTGTGTGTGTGTGTGTGTGTGTGTGTTGGTACCTGGACGAACTCAGGACCTCGCCCTTGCCAGGCAGGCACAGTGCTCCTGAGCTAAATCCCCTTCTTTCTATAGGACAGATATTTCCACATCTCTCTTCCCTCTTAATATCTGGAGTGGCTCCAGCTACTTAGCTTGGCTTTCAAGGCCTTCTTTGACTGATTCCCACACCCTCATTGGCCTATAATCTGCTCCAGAGTTTGATGTTCCACAAGTCCACAAAAACTTTCCTCAAGAACCTTAGTGGGGATATTTTTCCTCTCAGAAAAGGGAATGAAATGTCGCAGGATATCCTTGTTCCTCACAGAACCATCCTTCAGAACCCCGATGTCCACGGGACTACACCGTAGTGGGTGATCCAGGGAAGCCAGAGTCCCCAGAGAGGGCATGTGCTGCTCCAACACTGCCCACGCTGTGCCTGCAACACACGGTCAGCCTGGCTTCTCCAGCCTGATGAGATCCCTTGTGGCTACTGAGGCCACTCTTGTCTGTAAAACTCCATGAAGGCCTCAAGGTGCCTGAGTCTTAGAGATGCTGGGGACCCTATCTTTACCCCAGCCTCTCAGGATGGACCACATTCCCACAGGACCCCAAAACCTCAGTCTTCAAGCATGTCTCTTTCACATTTGTCACCAGCTACCTCCTTCCTGGTGCTGCCAGGAGCCTATCTCTGAGGTGTTCTTCGTGTCCTCATGGTAACAGATAGCAAATTCCTCCCTTACGCAAATATTTCTTTTTTTATTTGAATGTAAATGTACAAATATTTAGAATTATTTACCATGTGGCAGGCCCTGTGCTAGGTAGGCACTGGGGACCTGAATGACTCAGACATAGGCCCAGCCCATAGGGACTTTACAGTCTAGCAGGAGATACAGACCCAGACAAGGGTAAGGAGAGTTCAGTGAGACTGGGCTAATAGAAGTCATCACAAGCAATGCTGTGAAAACACTTTCTATACCGTGTTCAAATAGGCACAAAGGAGATCTCTGTCATCCAAAAAGCTTGGAAAATACTAAGTTAAACAATGCTGCCTAAGCTTTTTTTCTGCAGGACTCTTCAGAGCTTGCAGAATGGAAAGGCTAATTTTGTGTTTCAGGTGAGGAATAGGTCAGGAAAGGAGGAAAGGGTTCACAGAGGAGCTGATAGCAACCTGGGGATGAGTACAAGTGGGTGACGAGAAAAATATCCAGGAAAAATGAAGGAATTTGACCCAGGCA